GCACCTCTACTAGCTCATTCGTGCTCGCTCTTCACACCAATTCAGCTCTAGCCAGCCCCTGGCATGCCCGCCTTGGACACCCTCATCATTGGGTGATGACAGTCCTCACCAAGTTTATCCCCACTTTAAGTAGCATCCCTTCATCTTTTTCATGTAACTCTTGTAATGTGGCCAATAGCCACAAGTTATCTTTCCCAAAGCAAGCTAGTCATGTAACTCAACCTTTCAATCTAATACATTCAAATGTTTGAGGTCCATCGCCGATCTCATCCTTACGTGGTTATTGCTACTACATAATATTTATTAATGACAACACGTTTTTTTTTTTTGCTTTACTTAATGCACTCAAAAATGAAGTGCTTCCAAAATTTCAACAATGTTTTGAAATGGTACAAACTCACTTCAATACACGCATTATTACCTTCCGCCCTGATGGAGGAGGTGAGTTTACTAGTAACTCATACAAACAATTCTTGCTCACAAATGGTATAACTCTTGAGTTAAACTATCCCTACACCCCATAGCAAAATGGGATAACAGAAAGGAAGCATCGCCACCTTCTAGACACTACTCGAACCTTACTACATGCATCCAAACTACCTTTCCAATTTTAGGCTGAGGCTCTTCAAACCTCAAACTATCTAATAAACAAAATGCCCACTTCAACTCTCAACCTCCAAATACCATTTCACTTACTTCACGGTCATGCTATTACCTAAAACAACTTAAAATCATTTGGATGCCTTTGTTTCCTGTGGTTACAACCACATGCCCCTCACAAACTTGCACCATGATCTCATCCACATGCATCTTCTTGGGCTACTCAACCTCTCATTAGGATTTTCGATGCAACCTTCCACAAACCTAAAGAATCACAATCTCTCGACATGTCCGGTTTCAAGAACAAACATTTCCCTCAATGAACACCCCTCTATTAATCCGTCTACTTTTTCCAACTAATCAACATCTCCTCTTCTTGTTATCCCAACCTCCACTTACACCAATACGATAAACCCTCCAGACAAACCTCCCACTCCACCCACTTCCCCTATCATCTCCTGTGATCTCAATCCATCAGTATTATCACAGCCTCAAGTCTCACCCCTACATTACTTTCCTTCTCCCATTCAACCTCCACCTCCAATCCCCACACACCCAATGCAAACTCGCCTTATGACTGGCCACCTCAAGCCCAAACAATTCTTTGATCTCCTCGCTTTACCCGAACCCAACACCACACCCTCTTGTTACTCTCAGGCCGCCAAACTGTTGCAATGGAGGAAGGCCATAAAGACAAGGAACATGGTCTCTAACCATACTACCTCCCAACACACCAGTTTTGGGTTGTAAGTGGACCTATAAGACCAAGTACATCCTGACGGCTCAATTGCTTGCTACAAAGCTAGAAACTTGTTGCTCAAGGCTACACCCAACAATTTGGCATCAACTGCAAAGACACATTCAGTCTCGTCGCCAAAATGACCACAATATGTGTCTTCCTCATTATAACCTTCAAAGGAACTTGCAGACATTAAAATTGGATATAGAAAATGCATTTCTCCATGGAGAGCTTCATGAAGACATCTACATGCAACAACCTCAAGAATTCATTGATTCTCAACATCCGCAACATGTCTGCAAACTTAAAAAGGCCATCTACAGTCTAAAACAAGCATCACGTTGGTGGTTTCACAAGCTCAACTCGCTACTCCTCAATTTTTTATTCCAGTTCAGCAAAGCAGACCCGTCACTCCTGATTTACAATCACTCAGAAGCTCAACTATATATCCTAATTTATGTAGATGATTTGCTTCTTACAGGAAACAACTCGGAAGTGATACAACAACTTCTCTCCCATCTATAGGCGACATTCTCTTTGAAATAGCTGGATAATGTGTCTTTATTTCTCGGCATTCAAGTCAGTCGTCTCAACACTGGCTTACTTCTTCATCATACCCACTACGCCAGAGATATTCTCAACTCCTCTGGTTTCCCCTTCTGTAAACCTACTCCCACACCAATTTCCCTCAAACTGCCACTACACAACTCTAACACCACTCCATATGACAATACTATGGATTACCGTCACCTTGCAGGCTCTCTGCAATATCTCACAGTGACTCGTCCTGACATTGCCTATACAACCAATGTCATTTGTCAACATATGCATAACCCCACCATCAACGACTACAAAGCTCTTAAACGTCTGCTCAGATATATAAAAGGTACTCAGGACCTTGACCTTCCAATTTTTCCTGGCGATCTTTCTCTCACTAGCTACAGCGATGAGGACTGGGCTTTCCAATTTTTCCTTGCTGAAGCAAGGGAATGATATTTTGCACCTACCTAGACAACAATCTAATCTCTTGGAGTGTCAAGAAGCAAGACATTGTCAACAAATCTTCGATTGAAGCAGAATATTGTGCCTTTGCTTCAGCCACATCCGATGTCATTTGGCTCTGTCGTTTGCTAGCAGACTTCAAAGCTTCTCAATCTCAACCAACTATAATATATTGTGATAACATATATGCTCTTGCACTAGCCAACAACCATGTGTTTCATGTCAGAACTAAGCACATCGAAATTGACTATCACTTCATCAGTGGTCACATCAAGGCTCGAAAGATTGATGTCAAACACATTAGTTCAATTGATCAACTAGCAAATATATTGACTAAACCTCTCACTGCTAGTCGATTCTCCACTCTTCGTGACAAATTAACTATCCGTCCTCAGGATAATTAATTTGTGGGGGCCTATTTTAACACACCAATAGACTGCACCGCAGGTTCCTCTCTAGTATTTGGCTCCAGCCAGCTCAGCCGTCCTATCCTCCACTACGCCTACAATAGCAGACTGCTCAAAACAGCCTATGTCCTCTCTAGCCGCCTGTCTCTCTACATTTTTATATTAAGAACACTATTGCTATGTATCAGATTAGAGATGAATTAATACTATCTTCTTATGCTACCTTATTCTCTGTATATCTCTCTGTTCTTCTTACTTACTCTACTGCAGGTTCTCTGTTAGGTAGCGCCATCGAAAATTAGCCCATCACTCAAAATGTTGTGTCTAATGCATTCTTTTCAAGATCCCTATGATCCTCATCATTTTCCTTGTAAAGAAAGACATGACCGTCCCAAAAAAGCTTTGAGATAGTGGTTTCAGTATTAGCGCTACGAACCCCTCCCTACTTAATTATAACCTTGAGGGCGATCGCATGTACATTCTCATTTACGTGGATAATATACTTTTAGCTGACAACAACTCCGCCACTAGCTATTTACTCTTATTCAAAACTTAAGAGCAGAAGTTCCAAGTCAGGAATCCAGATTCCATCTCTCACGCTTTCTAGGCATTTAGGCTACTCCAATAACAAAGGGTCTACATCTAAATCAGACTACGTATGCTGCGAGCTACTTCACTGCTCGGGTATGGCTTATTTTTTTAAGCCAATTTCTAAGCCAACTTCTGTGAATAGTCTGCCTTGTTGTCTTCATTGAGCTATATATTGAACTGCCTTCTACCACCATGTGGTTGGCTCCTCTAAGACCTCACTATCACCAGACTTGACATCACCTTTACAATCAATCACTTATGTTAGCACATGCATAACCCGCCATCTATACACTACTAACATCTCAAATGATTTCTATTTATCAAAGGCACACTATTATTTGGTCTTCCCACTTATCATGGCAAGTTCAACTTTAGGCATTCTTTGATTCAGATTGGACATGCGATGTAATATCTGCTGTTCAGAAATTTAAGTAATTGATGTTATTTAATCTAATTGATTGTTTAATTTTATACTAATTGGTAATTATGAGTCCTAAAATATCAAATGAATTCTCAAGTAAGTCGAGAAGTGAATTAGAAGGTAGGTTTGAGTTTATCAAAATTTTCTCTGGGAGTACTGCAATGCTATGATGGGCGGTGTTGTGGCATTCAACTTTCTATTTGGGAGGAGAAAATGAGGGGGTGTTGCAGTGCTAGGGCATGATACTAAGCACTCTGATTGTGGAATTCTTGGAGAATCTGAAAGATTGTGTGAGAGCACAGTGCTACTAAGGGGTGTGCGCCACGGCATTGGATAAAAAAGATGACTATATATATATATATCCATTTTCCATTTCACTGTCATTCCAACCCATTGTTGGAGAGAAGAGAGAATAAGAAAGAGGTTTTAAAGGCCAAGAGTTAAAATCATTTGTCGAGTCTATTCAAAATATTATAGAGCATGAGATAGACTTATGAACTCCTATCTCTAATTTTAATTATTACGGTTGTATAAAAAGTTATGAATAAAAATATATATTTTCTCTAATTTTACGACATTTTAATTGTGTATCTTTTAATATGTTGTCGTATGCTCTATTCTGATCATTTTAATTATAAAAAATTAGATTATCACATGTTAGTTTTTCCTATGCAAGTTTCTAAGTATATAAGTTGATTGTTACTTTTTTGACATTTGTAACAGTTATATGAAAGTTTTAAAATGATTGTTTGAATATCCCACTGAAGTTGAAATTTGAATGGAAAAATTTTAAGGGATATAATGTTATACATGTAATTTGGCTTTTTACTTGCAATCCATAAATCACCTAAGCACTGCATTGAACTTATAAATTAGTTACTATTTCATTTACATTTGCAATGTTCATATTAGAGATGTTTCGATATGTGAAAAGTGCACTCTCTAATATATTAAAAGGGCCCTATATGTTTTGTTCTGGCCTCATCTATCTTGAGTGAATGTTGGAGGGATTATGACCCCACTTGCTGAAAGCAGGTGTAAGAGGTTATGTTTGAGCTGTTTTGTTCTGATTTTAGCCCCACTTGCTACTAAAAATTTATTTACTCTTTGCAAATTGTTAAATTTATTATTAAATTGATATTTAATATTTTAGATTGGACATTGATATTTGTGATGGGCCAGGAAAAGAAATCTACTAAGCTTGGTTGTGCTCATTTTGTAAACTTTTCTGGCATTTCAGGGAAAGATCAAGGCCCAAAGTAGAAGAGGTTAGAGGCAGTTATTAAGGTAATGTTTTGTAATTCAGTATTTGATTATTTTTATGTGTAGAACTTATTGTACTGGGTTAGTATATATGTATATATGCTTGGATGAAATGAAATATATTTGTATTGCTTTTATTATTGGATTTCATAGTTGATCTCGTCATTTTTGTTGGTGATTGAGTAAAATTATAGGTTTAGACTTTCAATTCTTCAATTAGATCTTAGGGTGTCACATGCAACCCTCTTGATCGTAAGCTCACTTCAAGCAATTGTGCATTTTTTCGAATATGTGATATGGCTACGTCGCCTATTTTAGGAAAATGACATTTCATCCACATCATATATACCACTCCCTTCCAACATCTCCGCCGTCGCTCTTGCTAGTCTGTCTTTCTTGCTCGCACTAAACACACGGAAACAAACCACCATTTCGTCGGAGACAGCTTCAAATCTAAAGGCATCAATGTTCACCGCATCGCAATCCCAATATCAATCTATTGACATAAGTTTAGGGTTTACTCTTCCCAATAGTTGTTTTCACCATCTTCACAACAAGCAGATGCTTCCAATGGAGTTCAAATATTGAGAGACTATGGTAATATAACACATGCATTAAACCATACCTCACCTCTCCAGTTATCCTGCGATGCATTCTAGCCATTCATCTAAAGCCTCCTAATATAATCTCAGCCGTCCATACAAAACAAGCTAATATGTATTATTCCCTTTCTTCTTCTCCTGCATCCTGCATTCCTGCTGCTTATTATTCTTAGTATGGAATAAGGATTTTGAAAGGTATCATGTGAAGTTAAACAGCATTTTCTAACCCTCCAATTCAGGCTTTGTTTTGAACAATTTTTTTATTATTTTCTAAAATAACTTTTTAGTATAATTTCTTTTAAGAATAATAAAAAATAGTGGCCATAAGCTATCCCAAACTTAGGCTTTGTTTGAGACAGTTTTCTTACTGCTTCTTAAATTAGTTTTCTAGTAGAAAATTAAAAAATTTTGTATTAGAAAGCTGTTGTAAGAAGCAGTAAGAAAGCCGTTCCAAACAAAGCCTTAGACTTCATTTGAGATGGCTTTCTTACAGCTTCTTAGATCGGCTTTCTAGTAGAAAGTTGCTTTAAGAAGCAGTAAGAAAGCTGTCCAAAACGAAATCATAATCTTAGGTTTCGTTTGGGACAACTTTTTAAAGCAATTTTTTTATTCAAATAAATTTTGTACTAAAAAATTGTTTTAAAAAAGTTATCTCAAACGAAACCTTAGTTTGCTTGTGGTCTAGGAGTTTCTCAAGCATCTTTGAGAATACCTTATGAGACATGATGATTTATAGAGGCTATAAAATTAGATACAGTAATCTTAGGGCTACTTATGTCAAGGTTATATGAGGGCAACACAAACTAGCCCTAAAATTACTGTATCTAATTTTAGCTAGATTATTGTGTAAAAAATAATGGGCTTATTGCATGATAATATTTTGTATTCCTGCAGCTATAACTCGGAATTTCAAGTTGTAATTTTAAAATACACATATTATCAAGTTATTTTGAATTTTTATAAAAAAATTTTTTATTTATTTATTTATTTTTATAAATAAAAAATAATTATAAACATAAATTGCTCAATTATATCTCATTAAGCATGCATCGCTTTATTTGAAAATATTTTTTGCTATTTGATTTGATATATTATAAATATATTAGATTACTTCTTATGTTTTGTTTGAAATAAAAATATTTCAATAATAGTTAGGGTAAGAGCTATTATTCTGTGCGGAAATTGGACGTGAAAATCATTTGGTTAAGTGCTCGGTACCGAGTGGTACTGAGTGCGGGTATTGAGCTCGGTACATTTTTGGAGTAGTGTGACGCATTTTTATTGGTCTCAGGACACCATCCGGACTTCGCACAGAGTAATAAATCCAGGTGTAATGGTGGGCAGCGTAAAACCCGAAATCGTTAATCGTAAGTGTTGCATGAATTTAGATGCGTCGTGATAAAATTTAAGTGAAATTTTAAAGTAGTTGGATTTTGATGAAATTAATTTCATAAAATTTTACGTAAAATTTCGAGCAAATTGGTATAAATAACTCATGGTGAATTTTGCTTAAATTGGAAGTTAAAAGTCATATAAGTTTTAATATGACTAAAAAGCCCTTAATAAAATTAAAATGAAAATAAAGCTTGTGAGGGCAAAATGGTAATTTGGAAATATCATAAACACTCATTTCTTAAGGGGATTGAAATTCATTCGGTCCCCATATGTTATTTTCGGCCGAACTGAAGCGAGGAGGCAGACGAGAGAGGCGAACATGAGAGTTTGTGGGCGGCTTTGGCAGCATTTTTCGGTGGCCAGATTTAGGGGAAATCAAAGTGGAAGGTTAAAAGAAGACTAAGGTATGTTTTAAGTTAATAAAATATGCCTCTTTCTTTAGATTTTTGGAAGAGAAAAATCTAGGATTTGACAAAAAAATTTCAATAGGGATGATTTTTAAACCTAAAAAAGAAGTTTTTCCCAAAACTTTTTGAGATTGGAAAGTTGATATTTTTCATAATTTGTGAATTTTAAGATTTTTGTTTCATATGATATTAGGAATGTTTTAATGGTGGAAAATTAGGGTTTTAGTAAAAAGTTCAGTTTTATAATTTTTTTAAATTAAAATAATTCGAAAATTAAGTTAACCTAAATATTAATTAGGTTTATATGAAGGTTTTGCATGGTTATTTGATGAAATTAAGGAAATTATAATTTCCAAAAATTAGGGTTAATGATAAAGCTAAAAAAGCATATAAATAATTATAAAAATGTTAAAGTGGTTATTATGTAAATTAGAATTTCTTATGGGTAATGAGCTATGTTATATTGGGTTCTTCTTATATCTTAGAAGCGGAAGAGGTGGAGGTGGAGGTGGAGGTGGAGGTGGAAAAGCATTAGGAAGTTGAACTAGTACCCTCGCTCGTCGGGTATTTCTTAAGGTAGGTAATTGTATTTAAAGTAAATTTCTTGTTTCTAAATTTTTATTTTATGTTAAATTTCACATATTAATATTATATGCATTTTTCGTATTCAAGAAATATTAAATTTTTATACTTATGTTTATCGTTATATTAAGTTTTAAACCTTAAAGGTTAAAAGTGATGACATATTTCATTAATTGAAATTTGGGTAGATATGAGAACATTCGAGTATAAAACAGTATAGGCAATATATATGAATTTATGAATGACTTAAGCCTTATGATATATATTATGATTGTATGTGCATGATGATCCCGAGTACCAAATTTTAAAGGGGCTCTTCGTAGCCAATGATAAAGGGGTTCTTTGGAGTCAATGGTAAAGGGGCTCTTTGGAGCAAATGGTAAAGGAAAGGTCAAATTTGATTGTGTACCTAATCAGTATAAAACACAGGTACTTCTGGGACAGATGTATTATATTATGATTAAGCATTTTATGCCTTTAAAGAAAGGTTATGATGAAAGAAAAAGTTTATGAATAATGAAAAAGTTTAAGAAAAATAAATGAGAAATGTTATATAATATATGCATATCAAATGTCAAGTATGTTTTCTTTATTTTCTCAAATTCTCCTGAATAAAAATTTCATGTATAACATTTTTTATTGTTTCATGAATTTATGATAAATACATATTATCTACTAAGCATTAGCTCACCCTGCTTGTGGGAATGTTTTTCAGGAGAAACTGTTAGAGAGTGATGGTTGAAAGACATTTTACCTACCATTGAAGAGGATCTCAAGATGTCAGGTTTTTATGTTCATGTTATGTAATGTGTTGGTTGATGTGTCATGGACTACTATAATATTTTCAGTTTATGTTTTAAGAGATTTCATGTTTTAATGTATTAGAGATATTTCAGTTTGGAAGTTTAGTGGCTCTTTCTTTCACTATTCTGTTATTGGATGATTATTGTATTTATGTCATTTATGAAATGAAAGTTATAAGTCTCTGTACGACCATCTGTTCCTGCCTTGTTATTTCGGGCTAACCGGGTCGGGTCGTGACAAGCAGTGGCAAGTGGGTATCGGTAGAAATTATCTAAATCTTGTTAATTTTAAATACATCTAAAATAAATTAGATGGGAAATTTGAAAAATAGTGTAATAATTCTTGTTTTTTTTCAATCAAATATTAAAAATTTTAGAACTTATGTATTTATTTTACTTTAAAATTAGGGGATGAAGTGATTTTTTGGATTATTGAATTTTTCAATGCTATTAGAAGACTAAAAAAGATGATAGATTAGTGGAGAATGAGTGAGTTAATTTTTTTTCTAAGAATAAAGGTTATGCATAAGATTATGTAAATTATAGAGGAATTAAGTTAATGTGTCATACTTCAAAATTATGGGAGAGAGTGATGAAGCATAGGTTATGAATTGATACTAATGTTTCTTAAAATTAATTTGGAATCATGACGTGTAGGTTTACTATATAAGTTATACGTTTATTGAGAGGTTTGAAGAAGAAGTATAAAGAGAATAAGAATGATCTACATATGATATTTATTGATTTAGAGAAAGCATATGATAATGTTCTAATAGAAGTGCTATAAAGAGTTCTAGAAAAGAAATGGGTTAATATTGCTTATATTCAAGTCATTAAAGATATAAATATATGTATGGGCTCTTACTTGTGTTCAAACACAAGGTAGTTTGACCAAGTATTTTTCTATTTCAGTTGGATTACATCAGGTATCATCATTAACCCTCTTTTTTTTGTGTGGTCATGGATGTTCTTACTACACATTTTCAAGAGAGTATAAAGGTAAACTTGAATTATAAAGGTGTACTTGGTGTATGCTTTTTGTTGAAGATGTACTTGGTGTATGCTTTTTGTTGAAGATATTCTTCTTGTTTTTTTTTTTTTTTTTTTAGCAAATTAGGGCCATTTTTTAAAATTTTCTTCTTGTTGATAAGACTAGAGAGTATAAAGGTAAACTTGAATTATAAAGGTTTACCTTAGCATCTAAAGGTTTTCATTTTGAGTTGATCAAAAATTGAATACATGGAGTATAATTTTAGTAATAATAGATCTAGTGGGGAGATTATGACTTTGGATGATCGTGTCATTAATAAGAGTACATATTTTAGATGTCTCGAGCTATTATTCAGAGTGATAGTGAAATAAATTGTTACAACCCAACCTAATAAGACTTATAAACTAAACAAGTCTTATCATGTTGAGCTATAATATGAGAATCTCAATATCTAAGTTGGGTTGTAAAACATAAAAACTTGACATCTTGAGATCCTCTACAATGGTAGGTAAAACAAAATTTTAAGACTTTAATTATATTATAGTAAATTTTTTGGGTTCAAGATTATTTTTTATTCAATTAAAAATATGCACATTTCAGAACACCAGGTATAATTTTTTTAGAAAATATTTGAAATATTCAAAATCTTAATCTCTATAACATACAACGAGTTACACAATAAAAGTTTTACCAATACAAAGTTATCTCCATTTTTCGGTAATAAAATATAAATTTAATTAGAAAATTTTGGAAATCACTATATTTTTTTTAAATTGAGATAGGTATAGTGTGACTTATCTCGATTCGGGCAATTTTTCAGAACTAGGCCAACTATTGAAATGACCCAAAGCAGCCCAAATTCTCCCCTCTTTCTCTCTCTCTCTAATAATATTCCTCTCTCTAAGTTGGTTAGCTTGCATGAAACGAATGAAGTGAATAGTAGAAAATGAAATTTTTAAATGCAAAATTTTGTCTTGCGCCATGGCGCTAGTTCATTTTCCAAAGCAAAGATCACAACGTTAGGGTGCCACTATCTCAAAGCCAAGGAACTCGAGAAGAAAATTTTTAGATTTCACAAATATGCATTCAAATCTTGGAACATGCTTTAGAACAAAGACAAATATTTTTCATAAACACATCAATTTCAAATATATATAAAAGTGTTCAAATACAAAACTTGAATAGACTTTCTGACTTCTAATCAGGTCAGATTAGTTTGAATAGTACTTAGATCCTAGAGGTGTAACATCGATTATGATATTGTTAGTAGAATTCAAGTTGGACGGTTAAAGTGGAGGAATGCATCTGGCTTATTGTATGATAGAAAGTACCTCTCAAACTTAAGGAAATCTTCTATAAGATGGTGGTGAGATTTATAATGCTTTATGGGGCAAAATGTTGGCCATTAAAAGATAAGCATAAAACTAAGTTAAGTGTTGCAGAGATAAGGATGTTCAGGTGGATGAGTGACTTTTTTCTTAGAGATAGAATATGAAATGAGCACATACGTAAAAAGGTTGGAGTAGCTCCAATGGCAAATAAGATTAGGCATAATCGCCTTAGATGGTTTGGTCACATAAAACATTGGCCTTCTGTTGACCCGATTAGGAGAGTGGATGTATTAGATTTGGCTTATGTCAAGAAAGGTAGAGATAGACCTAAAAAGGTTTGGTTAGAATATATTAGAAATGACATTTCTTTATTCGATTTAAATAAGAATTTGACCCTTAACATAATATAATGAATAAAAATGATTCATGTAGCCGACCTCACGTAGTGGGATAAAGGCTTGATGTTGTTGTTGTATGTATTTATTTTACACCTAAAATTCTTGCAACTAAACAACTCCTAAATGTATAACTCTTTGAGCATAAAAACGTTGGTCTCTTCAATTGTATAATTATGTTGTAAGAACATCATGAATTTATTTATTTCTTATATTCTAACATAAAGACAAGTCACAATTTTACCACTGCATTATTTATCAAATCAAGATGACAAATAGATGAGGATATTATTTGTAGAATTTAAGTTTGAAGGTTGAAGTGGAGGAATGCATCGAGCTTGTTGTGTGATAGAAAAGCAACACTCAAACTTAAGGGAAAATACTATAAGATGGTGGTGAGAACTGCAATGCTTTATGGTGCATAATATTGGCCATTAAAAGAGAAGCATAATTTTAAGTTAAGTGTTGTAGATGTAAGGATGCTCGGGTGGATGAGTGGCTTTACTCTTAGAGATAGGATACAAAATGAGCATATACGTGAAAAGGTTGGAGTTGCTCCAGTGGCAGATAAGATTAGAGAGAGTTGACTTTGATAGTTTGGTCACATAAAATGACAATTGATCAAATAAAGCATAAAACTTTGCAATGCATTGAAGAAGAAATCAGATATCATGACAATTGAGATGTTAATTAATCAAATAAACAAAACGACAATTGATCAAATAAACAAAATGTCAATTATTGTTTTTTTAATATTAGCTGTTAATTAAAGTATATAATGGTAAACTATAATTATTTTAAAATATTTGAATAAAAAGTAAAAAAAAATATATAATTAAGATGTTATTTTTAGTCATTTTTATCATGATTATAAATATATATTTACATAAAATATCACTATGCTGACTTAAAATATCAACCATAATATTTTTTACAAAATGACCAATTGATATATATATTTATATATGAGAAATAATACCCCAAGATGTTCTTATCAAAATATTGGTCAGATTGAGCCTTAATGTCATTGGATGTTCTTTAAGATTAGTGTAATGTACAGTTAATGAATATTATATAAATTTCAAAGCAAATTTAAGATTTTTGAGTTTCATCTTGATTATTTTTTTTTTATCAGAATATTCTAAAATTAATATTTAATAACAAAGCTTTTTGCAGAGTAATCTCATGTAGCCAAAAATAAAGGGCCCTATTTTTTCCTTTGAAAGATCTGAAGCTTATTGAATTCTAATTAACAACAATTATCTCTACAATATATATTCGGATAGATTTTAAAATTATATTATTCGCATTAAGATTAGTGTTGTATATGATATCATAAATTTTATGAATCTCGATGTAAATCGAATGGCTTTGAAATATATTTAATGCATTTTGCATAAGAATATCCTGATATAATTTTTATGAGAACTTTTTTGGCATCAATTGCTAGGGATAATGTTAAGTATGAATTAGGTACCAATATAAAATGGTCAAACAAGACTTGTCCTTAATTAACAAAGAATTAATATGTTTCGTTTATGATAGATTAAAAAAATAATTTAAAAAAAAAGAAAAATTACAACATAATACAAGCTAAACAATATAACGGAGAACAAACCTAAACACTTCTGATAACATCGACACAAAAAGATGAAATCGCAATGACTTTTCAACGAACACCTCAATTAAGCCCTCTCTATCGCGCTCGATTTCATGAATTCAGCCCTTTAAAAAGTCTAGCAAAATCAAATGTCCATCATGTTCCATGAACCTCTGCTGTAAATATCTCCACCCCACGTCTCTAATATCATTGCCCGTCCAGCATAGCTTTATTTTCATAACTTCATCATATGTATGCCACAATAAGCAACCTTCATCTTTGCTCCAATAATTCATAATACATCAAAATATTTCATTAGTTTTTTTCTTCGCTTCAACGCTCTCATCGGTTGATTGCACCAAACTTTCTTTCAACCGAGTGCTTCCCTCTTGAATCATGTGCTTCATGGGAATTTTTTGAACCTTATCCATAACCGGTGAATACATTGTTGGTAATGTATAAAAGATTGCAAAACTCTTGCAAAAAAACCTTTAAGACTACAAGACATAGCTCCTACTCATTAAAGGAAACTCATCATCAACAACTTATATTGCCTTAGAATCACAGGTTAATGGTTTAAACTAAATAATAAAATTATTTAATCACTTTAAATGCTACTGACTATATGACAAGACAACACAAACATAAATATCTGATTTGGTAATACACATTGACTTTATAAGACAACTTTATAGCTCAATGAATGTGAGTACTCCCTACAACTTTACAACTCAATCAATATCAAATTTGCCACATGTATTGTACAGCTATAAAACATATCTCAAAAATATGACATTGATTGATTGATGTTTCTTTTTTTTTAATTTAATTTATATAAGTCGCCCGTTTGACGGTTGACTTACGTTAAGTTGCAAGTCACTTGTCAAATGGGTGACTTTAGCGACTTTTAAATTTTTTAAAAATGTTGATTATGAAGGTAATTAATTTTTAAATAGTACTTTGTTTAAAAATTAACCCCCTATACTATCTATAAACACAACCAATTCCAATACAACTACTTTTGTTGCTTCACCACCTCCAAATTATTTCCCTCAACAGATCCATCTTGATATTTATGGATAAAATTAAGATATTTTCTAATAGTCACGGGATTAAATTAGGGCATTATGAAAATATAGGATTAAATTGAACATTTACTAATAATCAAGAGAGTATTTTGAGCTTTTACTCTTTTCCAAATTGTCAATCCTCAGTTGTTCCACCCAATCTATCTTCCATCTTTCACCATCTCCATATTGATCAACTCATCCATGATAAAAAAAGGCTTCTAATCAGACTAAAAATGAAAATTATTTTCACATTTATTCATACCACTGTCAATTCTCAGTCTCAGCATCCAATATTACATTTTGAAACAAATTGCTACTTGTTAAGTACATTAAGCCATTGCTTTAGCTTCATCAACAGCCCAATGTCGGAGAAGTTCAGTTACTGATCGAGTTGAAGCCTTAATCTTCCTGTACTCCATAAAGTCGAAACTTTGATAGAGTTGTGGGTTCTTAGAATCAATTAATTCAGCTTGAGGCTCAATCTTGTTATCCTTTGGTGCAAGTATAAATAAGACAACGGTGAATCGCGGCTCTGCTTTCTTGCATACCACCTTGTGTTTAACATTATGAAGTCTTCCATTGCTCCAAACCTCGAAAATGCACATGAGAAAAAAATATAACAGTGAAATTAATTTAAATAATTGTTGAAAAAATATATCATGATTACCTTTCCGATATCGCCGACATTTATAAGAAATGTTCCCGGTACATGATTAACAACCACAGAGTTTCCCTCGGAGTTTATAAACTCAAATCCATCATTAGACTCGTCTTCAAGAAGGACACTGATAAAACTACTATCTGTATGGGTATATGCACCATCAAAGCCAATATTTTCTTTTGTGAAATTATATCTATTCAATCGTAAGTGACAAGACCATTCTTGAAACGAATAGTCTACAACTCCTAAACACTCAGCTATTTTGGATGCCAAATCCACAGTGAGACAATGAAGTGTAGAGGCATACGTACTCAAATTTTCTCTGTACGTTTGATCAAAAGATATATACATTATATGAGAAAATTTGGAATATAAGAAATCTTATGGTACTACGGATATTGTAGAGGGATAAAAAGAGAAACAAAGGGAGCTCACTTGTCGTGGGATGAGATGCCCAAGCAAGTGCAGAAGGCATGGATGTCAGCAGTTGAGTTGGCATCATAGATGCCTAAACTCTCAAACAAATGGCTCAACTGATTAGGATGTATGTAACCGCTTCCAGGTATGATATTGATGTTGCGTTGCTTCACCTCAGAGGATAGCTCTAAGATATTTCTTCCAGAATACTTCATATTTGCAATAATCGCATCATGGATTCCATGATTGATCACTCGGAAGCAACCCAGTTCAACAACCGCCGCCCTAAGATTCTCCTTCTCTACTTCAAACTTCGCCAAGTCAATTATTGGCACCGAGAATCCCTCCACTTTCATGATCCCCAATCTACTCCTCCAATTTTCTTTTGTTGATGCTCTCAAAGATGCTTTAATCAGGCGGTTTAAATAAAAATTACATCGAAGTCTGTGAGTTATTGATGACTTCATGATAAAGAAATTTCTTTATAAATTGGAAGATGTGATGTTTATTTAATTCACACTAAATGACAACAAGTAATATAAATGTATGGTTGTGAATGAAGAAAAGGATCTAATTAAATGAGTTGGATTTTTGTAGTAAAAGGTGCGTTTACAGTGTTATTTAAATAACGATATAATTAAATGGAGAGTATTATTCATTAAATATAATGTATTTGATTTATCTTAAATTACATAAATAATATAATATTATGTAGATGGCATTTCACGATATATTGATGAGGTCAAGAACAGTACTGGCTATTTTGATAACGATGTTCTTTGTAGGAGACATTATTACGTGCAGAGAACAGATGTAAGATACGTTCGGATTTATGACGGTACATAACAAATACATCGGATTACGTGCAGAGAACAGATGTAGTATTATTCATGATAAATACACAACTGTATAAAAATTTGTATATTTATTTTGTATTTACTGAGTACCCTCACAAATTCAGAATGATCCGCACGTAATAATCTCTCCCTTTGTAGATGTGAAGTTTAGTGATTTTTTTATTTAGAAGATAGGCTCATCTTACTGTGATGAGATCAAATTTAATTTTCTTACTGAATGTTTTAATTAAGCTAATTAAAATAACTATATATGTTTAGATGAAGTGTAATCAAATTATGTGTTAATTTATCTTTAATACAAGAAATTTCATAATTGATCATAAATTTAAACAAATTTTTAGTCGTATTAAATATCTCGGCAAGCTAAATGTGATACAATTCTGATACAAATAAGTCCAAATCAAACACTTGAAGCATGATTGAAAACTACATAATATTAATTGAAATATCAAATGATCTTCAATTTTATCATGTGCATATCAAGTCAAACATCTTGATGGGATGAAACTATCAAGCCTTTGATTATTCAATTGTAAGGTCATTAAGGTACTTAATGATAAATAAATAATCTATAATTAAAGGATCAATATGGACCTCACGATGGAGTGTTATGAAATTTCGGCTAAATTACTTATATCTATGTTTTTGTTAAAATAAAGAAGTAGATTATTCTTATACTTTAAGAGAAATAATATAACAATAAAATTTGAATACAAATAAAATATATAGTTTTCTATTAAATTTCTACTTATGTTTATTATTCTAAATTATTTATGAATTACATATAATGTTTAAAATAAGAAATAATTAAGTGAATAATTAAATTATATATATATCAATGCCATAGAGAGATTTCATGATATCAATGCAAGGAAATAATTTATGTTGTAAGAACTTTTTGTAACTTAGAGCAATGCTTTCACCTCCTCCAATACTACAATCTAACAAGTATATAATGAATTATCAATGCCACATAGAGAATTCATTATATTAACAAACAAGTTCTTAACTTAAAACCTTTCAACCTTCAAATGAGTCACTTCTTCCATTATTCCATCATGAAACAAGTTGCTACATAGTAGGTATATTAAGCCATTGATTTAAGCTTCATCTATAGCCCAATGAAGGAGGACTTCACCGGCTGTTGACAGAGTTGAAGTCCTAATCTTTTTATACTCTCTATAGTCGAAACTTCGATAGAGTCGTGGGTTCTCAGAATCTATCAATTCAGCTTGAGGCTCAATCTTGTTATCCTCTGGTGCAAGTATAAAGAAGGCAATTGTGAAGCGTGGCTCTGGTTTTTTGCATACTACACTGTGTTTCACATTATTAAGTCTTCCATTGCTCCAAACCTCCAAAATGCATGAGAAAAAAAAATATGAGATTTTTATTAACACTTGCATTTGCTAGGAAATATAAACTTTGAATGAGCAATATTCTAGAGACTTATTTTAAACAATTTGTCACTATCATTACTAGAGAGAGAGAGAGAAGATAAAATTGAAATTAATTTATCCACAAATCAAACATTTTTTTTATAAAAATATATCATAATTACCTTTCCGATATCACCAACATTTATAAGAAATGTTTCTCGTACATGATTGACGGCCACAAAATTTCCATTAGAGTTCATCATCTCAAATCCCTCATTAGACTCATCTTCAAGAATGACATTGATGAAACTATTGTCGGTATGGACATGTGCTCCATAATGGCCAATAGTTTCTTTTGTGAAATTATATCTATTCATCCGTAAGTGACAAGACCATTCTTGAAACGAGCAGTCTACTATTCCTAAACTTTCAGCTATTTTGGTTGCTAAATCCACGATGAGACCATGAAGTGCAGAAGCATACGTACTCAAAATTTCTCTGTATGTTCAATTAGAAGATATATTATATAAAGTAATCTGGAATTTAAGAAATATTGTTGTATAGATATTGTGGAGAAAAAGAAGAGAGGAACAAAGAGAGCTCACATGTCATGGGATGAGATGCCCAAGCAAGAGCAGAAGGCATGGATGTCAGCAGTTGACTTGGCATCATAGATGCCCAAACTCTCAAACAATGGGTTCAACCGATTCGGATACACATAACCGCTTCCGGGTATGACATCGGTGTTGCGGTGCTTCACCTCTGAGGGGAGCTCTAAGATTTTTCTTGCAGAAACCTTCATATCAGCAATAATTGTCTCAGTGATTCCATGGTTGATCACTCGGAAGCAACCCAGGCCAACCACCGCCGCCCTAAGCTTCTCCTTCTCTACTTCAAACTTCGCCATGTCGATAACTGGCACCGAGATTTCCTCCATTGCCATTATCACATCTACTTCCCTAATTTTCTTTTGTTGATGCTCTCAAATATGCTTTGATCAGTAGGATTTAAATAAATATTACATGGAAGTCAGTGAGTTATTAATGACTTTCTATTAAGAAATGATGGGCCTTTCTTTATAAATTAGAAGATGTGTCATTAGACATAACCATAATTCACATTAAATGATAAAAGAACAGTATAAATGTATGGTAGTGAATGAAGAAAAGGATCTAATTTAATGAGTTGGATTTTTTTTTTTTTTTTTTTTTCATAGAGGTCATGTTTTCAGTGTTAGTTAAATAACAATATTTTTTAAGACTGAGAGTATTATTCATTAAATATAATGTGATTGGTTTATTTTAAATTACAGAAATAATATAATATTACTTAGATATAATATTTCTTTCTGATCATTTATTTAGTATTATTGTTCATGAATTATTTATGACGTCAAAAACAATAAATGATTGGCTATTTTTTTAAAAGCTTGTTGAACTCTTTGATAATGGTATCTCCTCTGGAGATGTGAAGTTTAGCGAATTTTTTATTTAGAAGATAAGGTCACAGTCATATGAGATCAAATTGGATTCTTTATTGAGAAAATTAAAATGATTATTAGTTATATAAAGTATAATCAAGATATATCTAATTTATCTTTGATACCTCACTAAGAAATTCATTTAATTAGATATGAATCCAATGAAAAAAACTTTCAGAATTGATTTTAAGATCATTCGAATTTTAATTTCAGTAAATTTGTATGGATCCAAATGAGTACAAATGAAGTACTTAAAGTATGATTGAAAATATAGGATATTGATTGAAGGATAAACCGATTTTCAATTCTTACGCGCTTATAATCAAATTGAATGTCTAGGCAAGACGAATCTAACAAGCCTGGAATCATTTAATTCTATGGTCATTAAGACGCATAAATGTTGAATAAATGATTTATAATCAAAGTGTTCAATATGTGCTGCCATAATGGAGTCTTATGGAATTCTTGCCAAATTAATCAAATTGCCACTCTCAAAAAACAATCAATAGAACCTCATTCTCCTCATTAAAAAGATATCTAATCTTAAGATAGCATGATGATCTGAAGAACCCTAGAATTATACTTAACATTTGATTTTGTTGATCACTGTCAGCCATCACTATTATCTAAGTTATAATTCATAAGTCATTATTTTATTGTCGTCGTCTAACCACCACCACTCATCTGTCATAATCATTCATTGCCATATAATTTTGCAACCATCATCATCTGACAGAAATCTAACCACAATCACCTAAGTATCATTATCAGACCTGTATTGCACAACTAACACTATATGACCACTATCATCATCGCACAACTACTTTTTCAGCAAGCTCTATTATAATTATAAGAGACCAAGGTTGAGATTATTACTTTGCAATCCCATCTTTTTCAAATGAGCATATATTAGAGAGTCGTCTTAGATGGTTTGGTCGCATAAAATATTGGCCTTTCAATGACCCAATTAGGAGAGTAGAAGTATTAAAATTGACTTATTTTAAGAAAGGTAGAGATAAACCTACTAAAAAAACTAAGTTAGAAAATATTAAAAATATATTAGATTTTGCTCTAGCTTATGATTTGTTATTGCTAATATCTTATTTAAGAAAAGAGATAAGCAACTTATCACTTATAAGAATAGATATAGTAAAACTCAGATTGATTATTTTCTTGTAAGAAAAATATACAGTTTAGATTGCAGAGATTATAAAATTATTCTAAGTTAAAGTCTATGTACCCACACTGCTTATCAGTTTTGGACTTTAAGATGAAGGGCGGATTATGAAAAATATAGTATATTGTTGTTCTAGGATTAGATGGTGGCATTTAAAGACTAACAAAAATATCTTTGAGAGTAAAATTTACAATCTTAAAATTTTGTCGGTGCATAAGGGAGGTAATGTTATGTGAAAAATAGTAGCATGTAATATTAAGAATGTTGCAAAGGATGCTCTTGAAGTATCATCTTAAAATTGGATTCTTTATTGAGAAAAATTAAGATGATTATTAGTTCTATCTAATTTATCTTTGATACCTCACTAAGAAATTCATTTTATTAGATATGAATCCAATGAAAAAAAATCAGAATTGATTTTAAGATCATTCGAACTTTAATTTCAGTAAATTTGTATGGATCCAAATGAGTGCAAATCAAGTACTTAAAGTATGATTGAAAATATAGGATATTGATTGAAGGATAAACCGATCTTCAATTCTTACGCGCTTATAATCAAATTGAATGTCTAGGCAAGACGAATCTAACAAGCCTAGAATCATTTAATTCTATGGTCATTAAGATGCATAAATGTTGAATAAATGATTTATAATCAAAGCGTTCAATATGTGCTGCCATAATGGAGTCTTATGGAATTCTTGCCAAATTAATCAAATTGCCACTCTCAAAAAACAATAAATAGAATCACATTCTCCTCATTAAAAAGATATCTAGTCTTGAACAAGGAGAGAGCATGAAGATCTGAGGAACCTTAGAATTATACTTAACATTTGACTTTGTTGATCACTATCAACCATCGCTATTATCTAAGTTATAATATCTCATTATTTTATTGTTTCCGTCTAACCACCACCACTTAAATGTCATAATCATTCATCATCATCCAATTTTGCAACCACCATCGTCTCGTAGAAATCTGATCACAATCACCTAAGTATCATTATCGGACCTCTACTGAAAAACTAACACCGTCTGACCACTATCGTCATCCCACTACTACTTTTTAAACAAGCTCTATTATAATTATAAGAGGCCAAGGTCGAGATTATTACTTTGTAATCCCATCTTTTTCAATTAAGCGAAGAGTAAATTTCTATAAATTATTCTTAGAAACATAATATGAAACGAGCATATATGTAAAAAGGTTGGAGTAGCTCTAATGGAAAATAAGATTAGAGAGTCGACTTAGATGGTTTTGTCACACAAAAGGGTAACCTTCCAATGACCCGGTTAGTAGAGTAGATATATTAAAATTAACTTATTTTAAAAAAGGTAGATGTAAATCTAAAAAAAAAAAACCTAAATTAGAAATATTAAAAATGAACTTTCTTAACTAGATTTAAATGAGAATTTAACTCTTAATAGAACGCAATAGATGATGAGAATATTAAATGGCCTAATTTGTTGAGACTAAATATAAAAAATTAACAATAGTACTGTCATTTCCAATAGATCCATGAATATGGCACAGAAGCTTGCATGTAATTAAAAGAAGTAATTAAGAGGTTGATTTAGCAGAGGATTACCAAAGCTTGCATGTAATTAACAATAGCATTTGGTTGATTCAAATTGGTTCATTTGTATTGCAAATTGAAATATTTATATGAAATGATTCTTTATAATTTGTTTGATGTGGATATGAAATGTTTGTACTGTGAAATGGAAACAAACTATCAAAGCAGATGCACTCCAATCTCTTCTAAAAAATATAATTATAGTTTTTTTACTAGAATGTTGATACAAGAATAATCAACAGCTAGTCTAGCAGGCTACACCTGCTAAAATTTTGGTGGATACAGTCATTGATAATAAAGCTGGTGGGTTTTCATCATATTATTTGCTTAAAAAAATCTATTGGAATGAATTTTACAATGGAGTTTCATATGCCAATAAGCAATTCCAGCAAGGATATTTCTAGCAGAGCTAAAGCACTCGGCCAGTTGGGATAGTTTTCTTATTGAAACCAGACATTTTTGTACTAAAAAGCTATTTTAGAAAGACTTAAAGAAGCTGACCTAAATGAAGCTTGAGTGAACGAAATTGGCTCGGGCTCTCGTGAGCTGAACTCGATGAGCTAACAAATCATCAAAATTTAAAATTGTGCTCTAAGATAAACGACCGTAAAAACGTTGTATTTTTCTTGCACTGACAGAATTAACTAGCATAATACAGGATCAAGGAATCCAATGTGATATAAACTGGCATAATTTAGTTTGAATGAAGTGATGAAACATACAGCGAAGGGTCAGTCACCACTAGCACAGCCTCCACAGCCACAATGGACACATTCTATGACCTTTTCCTCTCTCAGGTGCTTCGGAACTCTGCATACACATGTGGTTCCGAAGTTGTGATCTCTTGGCTGAATGCATCGAAGACAGCAAAGCCGTTCATAACCAGGCTGCATAAGCTCAGAAAAATATTCAGGTTAGGTGGAATATGTTAGAAGATTGTAGCAGGTACAGAGACAACAACAACATCAAGCCTTTGTCCCACTACGTGGAGTCGGCTACATGAATCATTTTTCTCCATTGTGTCCGGTTAAAAGCCAAATTCTCGTTTAAATCTAATAAAGAAAGATCGTTTATAATATTTTCTAACCAAGTCTTTTTAGGTATACCTCTATCTTTCTTAACATAAATCAAATCTACTACATCTACTTTCCTAACCGGGTCATCTGAAGGCCGCCGTTTTATGTGACCAACCATCTGAGGCAACTTTCTCTGATCTTATCTTCCACTGGAGCTACTCCAACCTGTTCACGTATATGCTCATTTCGTATCATATCTTATATCTCTAAGGGTAAAGCCACTTTGAGAGATTGGATAAAATGAATTAAATACAAGAAAAGCAGAAGGGAAAAGTTTCCATGGAACTTATGCAAATCACTTTACAAGATAATTTTTGGCAAGTTTATCTGCTATGGTAAGTTTAAGAGGGAAACAAATGCTCTCAATTGAGAGAAGAGGTTTATTAGGACTACAGGTTTCAATTTCTGGTGAAAATGAAAACTAATCTATTTCAACTGTGTTTATGTGATTGGTTTGAACTGGCATTAATATTAAGATTTGGTGATATTCTTGACCTCGGTCCATACAAATGTTTCACATGATCAGCAGTTAGATTATTTTATATTTTGCAATGCCTCATAATAAATACTAAGGGGCCATTTGGGATTATTTACCTTTTATTATTTATTTTTATTTTGTTTTGTTTATATTTTGACAAAATAAAAAAATATTTGGCATCTTACAAACATGTTTTTTGTTTATTTATATGACTATGGCGGCGGCGGCCACGGCCGGCGGCGGCAAGGCAGCAGTGGTAACCAACATGATGGTGCCAATGGCTGACAAGACGATGACAGAAGGGGTGCTCACACAATGGTGGTGGTGGTTGGTGGCCACAGTGATCGCTATTTCTAAAATCACTAAAAAAATTCTAAAAATTAATTTCAGTGTTCTTTTAAAACACCATGATTTATTTTTAAAAACAAAAAATAAAATCAGATAAAAAATACACTAAGCAAACATATTGTTTAAAAACTAAATAAAAAAATAAGTGATCTCAAGTAAGCCCTAAGTGAAGTATTCCTTTTTATTGCTGCTTTGAAGAAAAACCAAATATATCTACCATCCCGATTGACCTCCAATCAAAGACATAGTAGCAACAAACCATATCTAATTACAACTAACAATCCATGGTTTAATTTCCCGAGCAAACAAATAATATTCCATTAACAATAAAACATTACTTAAACTTTTTAGAAAATGTCAAAAAGCTATCGCATTCTTCTATTTCCCAATTAACCAACCAACAACTAACTAAAAGTAAATTAACTACAGCTTTACCGTGATTATGTGATAAATAACGTATATAAATATTCAAGGTAATTAGTAGACAATTGATGGACCGACCGATTTGATTGGGAGGGAATTAAAAAGTTTCCTAATCAAGAGGGAGCTGTTTCGGAAGGTTCTTAATCAAAGGGGAATTGTTTAGAAAAATTTTAAGTATAATTGGGAGGGAGAGGGAATTTAGAGCAAGATATCTAATTTAAATTTAAATTCAAATATGAAAGAATTATTTAGAGAAAGATAGCTGATTTGGGAGAGAATTAGAGAGCATATTTAAGGCTAACAATATAGTGATTTCAGGATTATATTTTTAGTTTGTTAAAATTAAAATTTCTTAGGTTGTAAGGGCTCTAGCCACTAGCTATGGATTTGGAAGAGCCGGATCTTCCTCTCCAATTGAAGATCCAACTGTATCTTGCTATTTTCTTTCATATATCTTGTAATAAAAAAAGATTTGGTACGTTCTTTTTCCTAATTTATTATTATTATTCACTAATCTTGCTATTAACATTGTCATCGCCAGGTCCCGCATCTTGGATGAGAAAGTGAAGAATTGCATTAGGTAGTCGACAGACAACATAAAATTTGTCGAATAATCATGGCATGTATCATTTAATACATTGTGTTAATGCTAGGGCGTTTTCTGGAAGTGACGCGCTCTATGGCCTGAATATAAAGAAAAATGTGCAAGGGCTACTGCATCGACGTCCAGATACAATGTTAAATAGGCAAGGGTTCCCACATCATGAAGGGATGTGGGCAAAGAAGCTAGTCCATGAAACAAAAATTAATTTAGGCTCGTGGAATGCAGGTTCTCTTAACAAGCAAAATTAATGAAATTAATTGATATTATGATTCATAAGAAGATAAATATTTTATGCATTCAGGAAACTAAATGGGTCAGAGATAAGGCTAAGGAGATTGATAGTTTAGGGTTTAAACTTTGGTATTCTAGTATGAGTCGTACTAGAAATAGTGTATGTGTAATTATAGATAAAAGTTTGAAAGATATGTTGTAAAAATTAATATAATTTGAGATAGAATTATATCTTTGAATATTATTGATGATGATAAGATTATTAATATTATAAGTAATTATGCTCCTCGAATAGGTTTGAATATGGAAGATTTAAATGAAAATGTTGGTAGAGAGGTAGAGGATTTTTAAAGCATTCATGGTGGCTATGGATTTGGAGCAACTAATGAAAGTGATAAGACCGTAAGACTATATTAGATTTTGCTCTAGCTTATGATTTGTTATTGCTAATATCTTATTTAAGAAAAGAGATAAGCAACTTATCACTTATAAGAATAGATATAGTAAAACTCAGATTGATTATTTTCTTGTAAGAAAAATATACAGTTTAGATTGCAGAGATTATAAAATTATTCTAAGTTAAAGTCTATGTACCCACACTGCTTATCAGTTTTGGACTTTAAGATGAAGGGCGGATTATGAAAAATATAGTATATTGTTGTTCTAGGATTAGATGGTGGCATTTAAAGACTAACAAAAATATCTTTGAGAGTAAAATTTACAATCTTAAAATTTTGTCGGTGCATAAGGGAGGTAATGTTATGTGAAAAATAGTAGCTTGTAATATTAAGAATGTTGCAAATGATGCTCTTGAAGTATCAAAAGGAAAAGCTTCTGATAGTAAAAATAGATTTTCTAATAGCTAGAAGTTCCGAGCATACACCTCATCATGACTAAAATATTTATCAGTTCAAAAATATGCAATTTGCAAGATATAAGCTGGAACAATTTTTCTCCAAGGGCAAATAGGAACAACTATCAAGAGAAATAAAACGGATAAAATATCCTGTTTCCCATGATGCATTGTTGATGAATAGTTACTCGATCGCTCCATTCATGTCCAGAAAACTTAGAAAGAAGGGTCATCGCACAAAACCAAAAAACAGACATATACTGCTTAAGAACAGCCTATTCAGACGGACAGCATTTCACAACTGCGGTCAATATAAAAAACACGATGCAGACATGACTATGAGGTAAAAGTTTGCAACTCTTCATAAACATGAAAGAAAACCCATTTCATTATGAATTTTTAGCTAACTAGTACCAAAGTTCCATGGCCCTCTAGAGACTCATAACAATTTCCATTTTTTTCAATATATTTCAGAACGATAACATTCAAAACCAAAGGCAGGTCGTCTTTAAAAATGAATAAGAATGTGACTTCCAAAGTGAAGAATGATAAGGTAGACGAGGAAGCTCATTTGCTTCCCTTTTCTGGAAGGTGAAATTCATAGCTTGATGGGATCGAAAGAGACTTAAACCACAAAGGAGAACAATTAAGAAAAACGGAACACGACTCAATCCAAAAACAAGTGAACAACCATCGATAAGACAAACTTGATGCAGGAGAACCATAGAAAACTTAGCAAAATAAACTAATATAAAATAAAATACCCCTCAGAACAACCAACAAGTGGTCACCTCACATTTAACGATAAAATAGAAAATTAGAGTGCTCTTAAGAACATGCAAATCAGTGGACCGCCACAGCAATCCCGATCCAACAACCGATGAAACTCCTCCAGCAAATACCAACAAACCTGCCAACAACAACACCTCCTACACCTTTTGTAGAGAAGAAAGATACAATGGGGTGGAAACTTGTGGAGAGAAGAAATAGATAGAAGCCTTGGAGGAAGAAATAGGTGGAAGGAGAAGCTCTCAAGCTTAGAAAGAAACCCTCAGGTTTTTAGAGATAAATATCAAGCTTCAACAACCTTCCAACAGCATAATACATCATCTATAAATAGGGGAAAGTAGTCCAAAAGACACCCAAAGCAGCCACCCCATTGAGCCAACCAGAACGGAGGAAAAACCCAAGAGGAAAGGCACAGCAGCACCACAAACCAAACAGCCAGAACCGGAACAGCCAGGAGCCAAACAGACACCAAGAAAGGAGCTCGGCAACACATGAACCCAGCATTCAATGCTAAAAATAAACAGCCCCCAATCAGCCCCAATCCTCCAAACACCAAACAGCCAAAGAACTATGGGCCAAGCCCATTCAAATGAAAATCAGCCCAACAATAATTACCCAAGGAACCAAGGAAGCTAACAAACCAAAGGTGGACATGACCCAAGAGCACTCTACCTTCACATGATCATTGATTGTTTTCCATCATTGGGGATAAAATAAAACATAAAATTCACATTACAATAGAGTTCAAAATAAAATAAAATGAACATGAAATGAAATTTATTGCATGCGTCTATTCTCCCCCGGTGAAGAATCTCATCTCCTAATGAGAACGCTTCACTAATACGTTGATAGATATCAGGATGATGAAGCTGCAACTCCTTATCTTCATCAGTCAGTCAAGGGGGTCGTCCATCCCATCCAACCAAGAGTCATTGGTGTACTCCATGTTTTGCTTGGGTTGTGCAGAGCCAGATATCCACAGCACCATTAGGAACAGTAAGGGGCAAAGTCTTACACAACTGTTTGCTTTTAGCAGCACCTGTTAATTTCATTTCAACAATTGAAGGATTTTTCTCAGAATAAGATTTTTCATGATATGTGATTGAAACAACTCTTTCAAAAAGCTCAACATCTTTTGATAAAATACTGCTAACCAAAGTATATTTGTCAAGGAAAATAATGGATGATAAACCTTTACTTGACGTAGCTAGATTCATCAATTCAAGTTGTTCATCCTCTATAAAATGCATGTTCCCTTCCAATTGCAATTCTTCTGGCTGCCTCACTTTCTCTTCTTCCATGTTTACTTCATTCAGCGGTATTTTGTAACAGACAGATTGATCAACATACTGCAATGTCGCTTCATCAGATCGACTTTCAAGAATAACAACTTCTCCATTGTACCTTTCCTGGTCTTGCATCTCTTTGTCAGTCGGTGTTTCCACCTCACTCTTTCTTTTAATATATTGTTTCTCACATGTTACCAACCTATCCACAACTTCAACTTTGTCTACTGTTTGAGTCTCACATTTATCCACAATATCATTGACAGGATAAGTGGTAAACTAAGCATCTTGAAAAGCATAACCTGTATGCATTTCTTTTTTTTTTCCTTTTTTTTCTTTTTTTTTTTTTTTGAGGATGATGCTTCCTAGAAGAAAAACCTGGCAACTTATTGGATCCCGCATTTTGTTTCAAAATAGGTTTGCCTTTTGGACTTAATGCAGTCAGGGTATTAGTCACTGATTCCATTTGTTGTTGTAGGTTAATCATTTGTTGCATAAACATATGTTGCCATTCAACTTGCTGGTTATCCATATTTTTATAAAAAGGCACACACGATAACCTAGACGCTTTGATACCAAATCGATGGGATCAAAAGAGTATTAAACCACAAAGGAGAACACTTAAGAAAAATAGAACATGACTCAATCCAAAAACTATTGAACGATGCACAGATAAGATAAACTCGATGGAAGAGAAACTATAGGAAACTTAGCAAAATAAACTAATATAAAATAAAATACCTCTCAGAACAACCAACATGTGACACCTCAAATGTAATGATAAAATAGGAAATTAGAGTGCTCTTAAGAACATGCAAACCAGTGGACCACCACAGCAATCCCGATCCAACAACTGATGAAACTCCTCCAGCAAATACCAACAAACCTGCCAACAACAACACCTCTTACACCTTTTGTAGAGAAGAAAGATACAATGGGGTGGAAACTTGTGGAGAGGAAAAATAGATAGAAACCTTGGAGGAAGAAATAGGTAGAAGGAGAAGCTCTCAAGCTTAGGAAGAAACCATCAGATTTTTAGAGATAAATATCAAGCTTCAACAACCTTCCAACAGCAGAATACATCATCTATAAATAGCATAATACATCATCTATAAATAGGGGAAAGGTGCCCGAAAGGCACCCAAAGCAGCCACCCCATTCAGCCAACCAAAACAGGGGGAAAACACAAGACGAAAGGCACGGCAGCACCACAAACCGAACAGCCATAATCGAATCAGCCAGGAGCCAAACAGACACCAAGAAAGGAGCTCGGCAACACATGAACCCAGCATTCAATGCTAAAAAAAGACAGCCCCCAATCAGCCCCAATCCTCCAAAACACCAAACAGCCAAAGAACTATGGGCCAAGCCCATTTAGATGAAAATCAACCCAACAATAATTACCCAAGGAACCAAGGAAGCTAGCAAACCAAAGGTGGACATGACCCAAGAGCACTCTACCTTTACATGATCATTGATTGCCTTCCATCATTGGGGATAAAATAAAACATAAAATTCACATTACAATAGAGTTCAAAATAAAATAAAATGAATATGAAATGAAGTTTATTGCATGCTGATAGCTTAAGCTTCAAAAAGCTGGCAGGTCATAAACAATACACTAGCACATCTTTGTGAAATGCCTCGAGGCATCAGACTTAAAAAAAAAAAAGTTAGCTTTGCAAACTAATTATCAAAACTAGAAAGTGGAATCCTAAAAATTCTAGATTTTCACGTAATTTAAGCAGAAAAAAGAAGCACTTGAACGCAAGAACTATATGATTTTTTTTTCCTCTCATGCACTTAGAGCTAAAATAAGTAAGCTAAAAGCTCGAGTAAACACCACTTGAAGGATCACAAACAATAAACCATGAAGGGTGAAAATATCAAGAAAAAGACTAAAAATTATAATATATAACGTAGTCCTACAACAAAAGATTAAGAGACTAACCTTCTTCCACTTAGCAATCAAATTACTGTCGGCATATCCCTGGTCCAGGCAGAATTCATACAAGTCTTTTGATATTTCCTTCCTCCGGTAATATAGGTCATATACGTACCGACTCTTTTGATGTGCAATTTTGAAAATTGGCCACAAGGCCTCACATTTTCTCTTTCCATCATGTGGATCATTTTCAGCTGCCACAACAAATTAATGTCAGCAGTCCACAATACATAGCTACTGACTTGTACATGCTTGCCAAAGAGAACTCAAATTTGGTTCTCGAATAATGAATACGCTACTCAGATTTTTACCTTCCCTCATTTTACCCTCAAGCTCACGAAAAGTAGGCTCAATAAGCTCCCATCCTTCTGGATATTTAATGCGGCTTGTCTTTACTTTAGGCATTTTCACGAACAGTCACTCTACACTTTAACAGCACCAGATACCAACCTATAAGTTTAAACTAAACAAAAAAAGGATGTCATTTCAAGCTATAGTGTAAAGATGATCATCACTTTAAATCAAGCCTACATGAAGGTATGATCGCAAATGGCATACAAGCAATCTATAAATGATTCAGCTAAACAAAATGGCATCTAACAAGAATTTGCCAATCAATCTCACTAAATTCAAGTACAGTTAAAAAAGATAAAAACTATTCATGATTCCTAGTGGTAACCGATAAAAGGTCCAGGTGTGAGTGAAATTGATATTTCATAACTAAAATATATTTGTGAAAGGCGCGTTAAAAATGAAAAAAAAAAAAAAACTTTGTCAGCCAAGCTGTTTAAGGTAAGTAATTTTCTTCAAAAGTATTTGGGTTCAATCCATGGCCAACATTTCAGCACCATAAAAGCATTGCAGGCATCAATACCATTCTTATAGAATTTTCCCTTAAGTTTGGAGGTAGGGTACTTTTCTATCACCACAATAAGCCCGATGCATCCCCTCCACTTCA